ATACCCGCCTGCAAATTCTCGACCTTGCTCGGATGCAAAGCGCGATTGAATTCTTTAGTTAATTCTCCTGCGTCAGTCGTTTCTTTCTCTCTCGGTCGCATCCAATTTTCTCCAGCCCACAGCTCAACATGGGGGTTGATTCGATTTAGGAGAAGTTAGGTCCAGTGCTACAGCAGTGGTCATGGATATCGCGTATCAAGGACGGCGTCTAGTGAGTGTTTGATCGCCTATGCGTCGAGCGAGTATTGGGCAGTTCCTTGACCTGTACTCCGATTAGCCACAGGGCCGAGAAATTAAACAGTCATGCAATAGTGTACCTATCTTGGAAATGGCCCGTCACACAGGGCGCAAATCAAAGATTTGAGATCTTGTTCGTGTCACCGACGTGTGCTCTCAAGGTGAAACGCGGAACGGCGCGTCGACACGCAATATCTTCACCCTTTGACTAATTGATTTTGGTTTTATCTTTACGTAAAAGATGTAAATGAAGCTGTGGGTGCGACGATACGTCACTGTAAACCCCCGAGATACCGACAATCAATGATGGAAGCTTGCCGCTTTGTGTCGAGAAAGGATCTGAAAGACAGTGGTGTACAAACGAGGTGACCATCTTATCTCCGCATTCGATGAGTGTGTCAAGTGAGATTTGTGCGATACTGAACTCTCGCGTGCGTATAAGGATTACTTTTGATAGCGCTATTCGCAAAGATGCCCTCCCAGTGCTCCAAGAAAAAGATATTGCAGTAAAAGGGTATCGGAAGAGAAGTGAACGCGAAAACTCTGAGCTTAAAAACCAAGGGAATAAGAAGTGTGCAAGGCAAAGCGAAGTGCAGTTAGTCGTGCCTGACACCTGCAGGGAGAAAAAAGTAAACATGTGGCTGTATGCACGTAGGTCCCGAATGGTCCAGGTGCCGAGACATCGATCTCGACTACCTGGAATATTTCTTTTCGACAAATGCTGCGATGAAACGCTTATGCCGTCTGCTTGTCTTCGTCACTTTGCGATTGTCACAGCTTCTGGCATGGCTTCTAGTGTCTGTCTGCGAAAGTAGATGCGTACGCATCGTAGTTTCAACGACAATTCGATAGGCGTGGTTTTGGGTGGCGCGAATCCCATGACATATTTCTCCTGGAAGTTGTCTTTGGCATCGAATTATGAGTCTGATGAATTTTTTGTGTCGTTTCTCTTGTCGCCTCTCTCGAAAGTTCCTCCACTTCCACTACGTCGCGGAGGCCATGTATCGATCGATTGACCGGATAGAATGCAGTCGGTGCTTTCGCCTTTCTTGCTCAGATCAGATCGCAATTCATAGTTGTCGTTTTGGTTGCCCTCAAGGTCTATGTTCGCTTCCCGACAATCTGGATGCGCTCTAGTTGGGCCGGTTCCACTACCATCGCCGCCTTGCTGTGAAGAATTGGGAGTTGGCTTTTGAGAGTGCGAGATCGTCGATCGTATGGACTTTGCTGTGGCGAACGCTTGCTTCAAGAGAGGACGTAGCGTAGCTAGGCACCCAGCAATAATGCCTGCTCCCGGTTCGATGGTGGACCATATAGACACATTCGTCGCACTCCCTATTCACTTATCAGAACCATATCCACATGCATATGGAGTGACTTACAGAAGAAATCACGAACATCTGTCAGCCCATCCACGTACTGGAAGCGGATTGCCGAACATATGCAGCCCAGCGTAGCCAGAGTAAGAATGAGTCCTACTAGTATCTTTGACCGCCTTTGCATATTCGCATTCCACAACAACATAATCGGCAGTACAACAAAAATACAATCAGTCAGGAAGGCAAAGGCTGCTTGCTGGTACGCGACGAATCGGTCCGGTGCTCTACCCGTGCACTTGTTCTGCAATTGGAGAGATGCGTAATGTGAAACATCGGGACCGCATCGGAAGATGGCATAGAAGAAGGCCGATAGAGACGAAATGGCACTGACAGAAATCGTGGCATATATGAGAAACCGGTGCCACTGCTCGACGACGATTCGCATGAAGAAGATGGCAAGGGAGATCTTGAGCACCAAGACCGTGATGATGTAGGTAGACTCACTGAGAACAACCCACTGCTGATTATTAGCTTGACTCGTTAGTTGAAGAGTATGCATACCTTTGCAAGAAGGTCAAGTTGCTCAATGCTGGTGACATGCGTTCCACCGCCCCGCGCCTCGATGTAAAGAATGCATCCACAGTAAACAGTATAGATCATCTATCATTGATCAGTATAAACCTTAAAGGTGCATACGACGATGTCTTACTCCAGCAAGTACCATGGTGCAGTCATCCCAGCCAAAGTTCAATCGAACATATGTCCTCGTCCATATCCTTAGCCCAATGAACACCCACGAAAGAACCAGAAAGGCAATTGTAATGCTGTTCAACTGCACACCAATGCGAGTCAAAGTGTCTTCACTCGAAGTCATCTTGCTTCCTGAAAGAGGGATCTCCGTTCGAGATCTCAGACCGGCCTGCGGTAGTTCGCGACGCTGCACGTCATCGGCTACGGGCGTCAAACAGTTGATATCAGCAAGGAGGATCGAGGAAGATGTTAAAGACAACAGAAAATGATATGGCAGCAATTGCAGCGCTCCGAGCGGGTAGCGGAACGCCGCGGGCGGGAATCGGGTGCATTAAGAATATACCACGGTTGCACGACGCAGTGATCGATTCCGTACCGTGGGACGAGAAACGACGACGAAACCGATCCTGGTCGTGAATGGTCGCCGACCAGTGTTCTTTTCTGAGTGTGACGGCATGTTGTTTAGATGGAGTGGGAGTACCTGATTCCTTTCTGAGATGTTCGAGGGGACACAGCATAATGATGCCGGGGCATTGTGAGGTACACGTTTGGCGCCCGGGTTGCTGTAAACACGAGTCTTGGTGCGTGGGGAAAACGGAGGAAAAAGCAAATGATGGCAGCTGTCCAGGGGCTGTCATCTATTTGCCGTGCGGATGGACCGACGCGATGATAAGAACCTCGTGTCTCGAAGCGCCTCACAAAGACTTGCGTCACAATTAGTGGAAAAACAATTCGCTCATCATCCAGTTGCCAGGGTGGCGAACGTCAAGCTTGGCTTAGAGGTTCCTGCGATGACAACTCACGGCTTGTGTGTGGAGGTCCGAAGAGGCACGTAGCGAGCCGAAGGAAAGTCCCGAGAGCTTGGGCCTTCCGTGAATGAGCTAGTGGGGTCTCCAGCGTTCGAGGTCAGCACCAATCTACTTCATGGTCTCGTCTGTGGTGAAATGTAGCTACTACATCCCTCCCGATCTAATGTTACAGTACTATGTACTATTTTACCTATCCGATTTAGTTTATACGAGGGAGCGGCGAATGCGAATGCGAATTCTTCTTCGTCTTTTCTTTTCTCCTTTGTTCTCTCGTTGCTTCATCGCCACATTCCGGATCTTCTCGTTAGAATGGTCTAGTGTTCTTGACACAATCTCGGATTTTGGATTGATAAACCTGCCCTTCACGTTGGTTCCTTAATGCACTGCTCTGAATCTGTGACTACGTAGTTACCAGTATTTATTAATCATGAAAACACAAGGTCTCTTACCCCATCCGAGGGACAGTGATGCCCAAGAAAAGAGACTTGTACATTTAGTCAGATCAACATCACTCAAGTTCCAGTAGTCTCCAAATGTTCGAATATCAGAGAGACCAGCTCAACGAGGCCTTGCATTGTTTCTGCGCACAATTTTTAGTTATAATAAACGTGTAAATTATGTGCATTCCTCGTCGCGGTATTCGCATAACACCACTGCAAGAACCAGAAGTGTCGTAATCATCCAGTGTTTCTGATTCACTATAGCGAGGACTCCAATTGCAATCAGGTTGACTCCAATCCTTCCAGTCATCTCACCAGCTATTTTTGACCCTGTCAAGGTTTTGACGACCAAAATCGAAGACTGTTCTCCAGAAGCTTGTCAAGTGTGTATTCGATTGCAACATGGCAAAGTCATTGAGCTTCGATCGCTGACATGTAGCGTTCCAGAACCAAGGTCCAGTTTTTACAGTTTGATAAAGCATGCTCTTCCCGATGAACCGGAACCAAGTTTGACATGGTTACTGAGTTCGATAACTGTCTCATGAGCGGGCACAAAAGGTCTGATTCTTGTTGAATGTTCTGATGATGTTGAGCTCACGATTCCCCGCGCGGCTCCATGTCGAATAAAGAAAAATGGTTGTACTGTGCCCAGTTATGAACACTGAGCGGGACATGAAGCAGAACGCCGCAGAAGGTGTCTCGTATATTTTGTACTTTTGCGGACTCGATACCAATAGCGTCGAAAATGGAAGGATTGACTTCATAGCTTGATCCTTCTTCTCCGATCGCGCAACTCAATCCCATCGCTTCGGGACAATGCCAGTCAAACTCGGTTAGTGCGGACGTGATGTTTAAGATTCTATTGATGGGTAGGAATGTGACAACATTATGATATACTCCAAGAGCTGGATTGGAATGATGATAGTCCCGAGAATCGAGAACTGTAACCATTCTACGTGCATAGGGTATGATTGCTTTCTCGCACAAATCTTGGATCAATATGATAGATAACGTCAAATCCAACAATCCCACAGTAGTACAATAATCCCACGAAATGTTTTCACAGCACAAGATAAATGCAGGACACAATTTTTCGTTGGCCCAAACAACCATGCCACGGTATAGCATCAATCTATAACGCATCGTAGTGATACATCAAACAACAAACCTAAATATTACTTAACTAGCAGATATTTCGCCACATGTACGTCGCCATAGGTCCACAGCCATCAATCCCGTCCCGAACCGCAACCCCACCCCTCCATCCCAGTCCACAAAAAAACTTCTACCCCGCCAACCCCACTCTGCACGCCACACAAACTCTTCACCAACCCATCCTTAGCTTCACCCCATCTTGCTCCTCCAAGAACAATTTCATAGATAAGTATTGAATGATTCTCAAAATCAACATCTCTCATCATGACTCTCTCAGAGTCTTGAGTTGCGGAGTCTTGGCGCAATGGTAGCGCGTTGGTTTTCGGTTTCTGCCTGAAAAACACCAAAGGTTGTGGGTTCGAGCCCCATGGACTTCGTTTTTTGCACTTTTTGTGACCTCTTTTTGGTTGGGATGCCTTACGGGCCGTCTTTTTGCTTGCGCGCACAAATGCAGCAGGGGCGGGGAGGGGTTGGTTCTGTTGTGCGACAAAGCAACTAGACAAGGTTCCGCTCTGGAGAGCACAAAACTACTTACTGGATGGACACTGCATTTTCACAAGCTTATTAAATGTAGGATTCAACATGATCTCATTCCCAATCACCTAGCAATCATCTACACACATCTATCCATCACCCTCATACCCCGGCCTGCCCAAACCTTCCTATCCAATCTGATGCGTATGCATTTATTACGTATCCTCCCCTCGTACATCAGCCCCATCCTGGTCTCATATTCCAATCACAAAAGGAGCGCAAGAAACCGAAGGAAGCCGTTTACTCGCTACCATTACATCCTCCTCACAAAACGAGCGAAAAGTGTGACAAGACATTACAGTTCCACCCACCGACTCCTGAGCCGGTGGGAAGTATCGTGCGTGCGTGCGATTATGAGTTGTGTCGAGCGACGGTCGGATAAGAGGGCGAGGAGAGTATTAGCGAAGGGAGGTAAAGACTGCTGTGAAACTTATACCGGTGAGGGTGTATGCAGATATATAGATGCTTGTTTGCTTAATCAACGCTAGACTGGACGGGGAGCAAATTCGAGATGCTGAAACTGGAGAGAACATGAGTTTTCGATGCGGTGGGCGATTTAGATGGGGCCTCGGGTATATGTGAGGAACACTTGGGGCCAAAGTGTGATAGTGGCGGGTAGTATTTGCCAGTGCGATCGGTACTAATGTCATGATCGTCGGAAGACCGACTTGTGTGTGAGCGGCGAGTCGAAGGGGGCAGGCATGGGGCCTCTGACTCGGCCGCCACGGGCAACAGGTGTCTGGCCGGTGCAGAAGACGCAGACGTAGACGGGCGGGAGGTTGTTCTGTGTGAGACCGACGCAGCCCATGTGGAGCCATTTGTTGCAGGACTCGCACTGCACCATGGACCGGCCGTCGTCACTACCGTTGCAGACGCAGCGAGTGCTGTCGCCAGAAAGACTGCCGCGGTCGGTAGATGGTGTAGTAAGACCGGTGTCCGCCGTGTTTGGAGAGCCAATGAAGGAGTTGGTAAAGGGGTCGTAAGAGGCGACATTGGCAAGATCGGCCGAGGCTTGAGCCCAGCGTTGGTTATGAGCTCTGAGGGCATTCTGGGCGACACGATCTAGAAAGGTCAGCAATGATGAGACGATGCCACCGACTACCGTACCTGTCCTCTTCTGTCGATCTCCGACGACCTTTTTCAGTGCACCCAACGCATCGCCTGGAGAGTCGGGCATTGTTTGGTCTTCACTGTCCTCGGTTTCGTTGAAAGACGTAGGAAGGTCCATCATGCTGAATCTCCGATGGACACCATCAGCCACTCTCCTCACGGGCCGCACAGTCTCAAAAGTAGACTTGTCAAACACACCAGACGACGGCCGAGGGATCTTGAACGAGTTGGATCGGGTGAGATCACCACTGTCGGCTCGAGCATGCTTTGGCGGACGTCGCTGAGGGATATTGAACGAAGCGTTCCGACTGAGCGTGGCCGGTTCATCCTCGTCAGTGTCACTTTCATCATCGGCCCACAGACCAGGGTATTGGCGCCTGAGATCCTTCTGGGGGTGAGGATCTTTGCGAGCATCGGCCCCCATCATCTCGTCCTCCTCGACAGGCACAGTCTCCGTTCGAGCGCGTCCAGTCTCGTCAATGATGAGGCGGGTCTTTGGTCTTCGCATCTCTGGTATAGCCGTCAACGAGCCGCCACTTTGCCTCTTGAGCGGCGATGATCGACGAGGGATATTGAAGCCTCCGGTTGATGCTGGGGATCTTGAGTCTATCGACGTAGGTCTACTATTCCTAAAACCACTGTCGGTATTGCTTCGCTGCAGACCTGGCTTGGACAGCTCAAAAGATGCAACCGACGAGTTGGTGCTAGTCCGAGAATGCTGACTCTTTGCCTGCCGGACGATCTCTTTCTCTTTTAGCGAATCGCGAAGTTGCGTCTCATACGGCTGTCTAGTCTCAGCCTGCTTAGGCGGCTGTGCCGAATGGTCAAACGAGGCTGCAGGGCGAGGACTCGAGAAGCTAAACAGCATGCTTGGATCAACACCTCCTGACGGCGAGACGAATGAATTGGGCTTCAAGTTAGCACCACCGGCGTTGCTTGCGAAAGAGGTCATGGGTCCTGGAGACGACATGCCGTGAAGTGTCTGGAATGGCCGAGGATTCATCTGGGCATTAGAGGCTGGGGTATGAAAGGTCGACCAATTCACATTTCCTTCGATCTTGTGCGGGGTCGGACCAAAAGGATCTGAAGCAAGGGGCATGTCTACATCCATTTGGCTGCCGTCATTAGGCTGATCCCAGAATAAGCGGGAGTGAGGAAGGGGCGGCGCTGACATTGGGCCAGTGTTCGAAAACTGCAGCATTTCCGGAGAAAACTGGAGACTCGGGTAGCCAAAGGGAGTCTGGTTGAAAAGGCCATCTGCTGTGGGTATCTGGCCGGGTGTCCGTTGGACCACAGTGACTGGTGTGGCAAAATCCCGACCTCCACTCTGCTGCAGGCCGGCCCTCGAAGTAGCGTGCCTTGTCGGCGGCGGCGTCTGCATCTGCGAGGTGTCCATACCGACTGGCCGAAATGTCTGGTCGATGGGCTGGGAGGCCCCGGCCTGTTTCGCCGAAAGCGGGCCGGGCGAGGATGACAGCCTCCTCGCAGGCTCGACGGGCGGCAGAGGGAGGTTGTTCGGCACGAAGTGGTTGACATGGAAATCGGGGTCTTCGGGGGTGCGGACCTTGAAGCTGTGCGAGGTCGACGGCCGGTCTACGGGCGTGGAGAGGGCGAAAGACGGCGCCGGGGCGGGGGTCTGGCGCCCATTGACTAGCGGCGTCGACCAGGCGTCGAGAAAGTATGACGGAGGGAAAGCGTCAGTTTTGGGCGTCTTCAGGGTCTTCAGGGTCGAGTCCGGAAATGTCACGGACTTTGGCGTGGAGGAGGGACTGGGAAGGTGCCAATCCGTTGATCTGACGACACACCTCACCCGTTAGCCTTTTGACATTTAGGGAGTGGCTGCAATGATAAAAATGGTGGCCTTGCAGGAAGTCTACGTGGGGACGGACGAAAAAAGGAGGCAGAATAGAGCTGGGCAGGGCAAAGTCAAATGCACGGAGATATGAGATATGGCGGGTGCTGGAGTGAGGTTGTGAGGGGAAGCTGGGACCGGGTGCATGGAGCTTCAGAACGGCAACCGTGCAGTGCTGGCTGGCTCTGGCCGGACCACACCACCGCTGGGTGGATCGTCTGACAGATCTGGTGCGGTGTTGCGCGCCCGGCAGGCAGATATGGCGCTGAGGGGCAACAACCCGATCCTGAAGCTCGTTGCACCGGCCCGTGTCGTCATGTATCCCCACGCTCCCACGCTCCCACCGCGCACCCACCACGCTCGGCGGTGAAGGGAGGCCCTACCCATATATGTACTGGTCCAGACTCATAGCAAAGCCGGCGGAACAGTGCTGGTAACAGTGCTGGTGTCCCGGAGACCATGTAGTGGGCGAAGGAGGCGGCGTCGAGGAAGGTGCGGTCGCGGGGCGGCAGGTGCGATGAGGACAGGCTTTTCTCGGCCAGGCGGGCTGGAGGCGGCGATTGGGGTACAGTTAAGATGCAAGTAGGGCAGGGCAGGCAGTGTGAGACCTGATGGAGGCTCGAAGGGCTCGAAGGGCTCGAAAGGGCACTGCGGATGGCCTTGTGAGACGTGCTGCAGGTACAGTGCAGGTAGCGACAGCCAGGGCAGAGACAGGACGCCCAGACGGCCGTGAAGAGCTTGTGAAGAACTTGTCGAAATCTTCCAATCTTTCACGTAACGAGGCAGTGGGGCCGGGGAGGTGCAGAAAGAATTATTCACGAATAATCAGACGTACCGCAGGTGACCCGGCGACAGCCAGGCACAGGAATGCACAGAGTCTCTCCTGAGTCTAGGGATCTGACAGTAGCGAGCCTTCAGGAACACGGCCGCCGAGAGCCGTGCCCATGGGAGCGCGGTGCAGTACGAGGCGTCATTATTGGTAGGGTGGTGAGCAGCTGGAGGCATCACAGACGAGCCGGCGGAGGAGAAGCTCCGCCAACTCACGGCGGCCAAAGTGCTCGACGACCATAGGCCAGGGCCGCTAGCGGGCGCCCGGAGACGGCCATGGCTACCTAGTAGATTGCAGACGGCACGGTACAGGAGGCTTGAAAAGGATGACCCCAAGAGCCTGCTGTACTTGGGCGGGATGGAGAATACCATCTTGAGTTGCGCGCCCCGCCGAGGCCTGTGTGCTAGAGCCGCTAACCGCACCACCGACGAGCGAACGACGAGTGAACGACCACCGCCTTCTTCCCAAAAAGAGGCTGCAAACCTCTCAACGCCGTCCAGACGCAGCCATCTCCGCGGCCAGCTCGCTCTCGCCTTAATCTGCCGTCCTTATGCCCTCAGCAGCATCCATGCCCATGTCCATGTCCATGTCCATGTTCAACAAGCGAGTGACCGTTCGGAAATATCAACATCGAGACGGAGTAGCCAATAATCGCGCGCCCTTTGCCTCCAACTCGAACCAGAATTGACTTTGTGCTGCGAATCAACATGGAAGATCGAAGTCGTCGTGTGCTCTTTCCTTCGACCCCCTCACTCCATCACACTGCCCCACCCAAAACCTACTCACTAGGTCCATTTTCACTTCCGTGGTACCCTAGCATCGCATCGATACTACCCCTCATGCAAGGTACACATCTCGAATTTCCAGCCCAGATCGCTTCAACGCATTCCAAGACAGGGCGAAGCGACGTTGACTCTATGACCCTATCTTCATATCATTGCTGCCGTTGATCGTCGCTCAACAATAACGATGACGGGGTTGGAGCTGAAAACAAGCAGGAGTGATGCAGCCATGATGATGGGTTGGAAGCGTGGAACCATCCCTGCTCGCCT